TCCAAGAACCAAAAGGAAATTCCCCCCCCCCCCTCGGGGGGTCCCGGCCCCGGAACCCATGGGGGGCCCCCCCCCCCCCCCCCCCCCCGCCCCTCCCCCCTCCCCATCCAAGACACCCCAGGGTGTTGAATTCTGTTACAGAACCAATGAGCTACCGTTTGGAGCAAAGAGGAATGGCCGTATTTCGAAACAACCGCCTGTCTTAGGATTAACTCTAACGGTTTCGGCCTCCTTGACGGACGATACGGTATGTGGTTGCAGGCATCGCCATCGAGGTCATGAAATCTGGGGTACCATTGAACATGAGCCCCGCTTGCCATAGTTCGTGGCTAATTAATAGAGAAAATATGCGGCAGGCGATGTACGGGTTATTGCGTCTGGGCACGTTGTCTTTGTCTCACGCTGTACGTGAAATATCGGGCGTTAGTCTCTTGTTTTTGTTTTTTTTGTGTGATAGTTTGATAAAGCGGAGAGACAGTAACCCCTCATGTTGTCTCACGTGCCCGGTACCGCCCGCGCAAACACGCGTTTGACATGCGACCCCCCCCCCCCTCCCCCGTATGTGGCCTGTCATGTCCGTTCAGGTCCTATGGGTCTAGCATGGACTCCTTGTTCCACCGAGGAGGGTTGGAGAGTCTTCGGTCCGACTTTCTCAAGGTGTGACAAGACATAGTAGGCATAGCCACCATGTGGAGTATAGTAACTAGAAGTAAATAGTTTGGGTTTTAGTTTGTAGTATGGCGTTCTGTCGTAGTCCACAAAAGTCGGCGACTTGTTCCCAAGTTCAACACGGCTTGCCCTCAATTTTCCGCTTGTTTGGAGGTGCCTAACCGATGGCATTTTCAGTTTGCGACTGGCGCGTCATTCGCCGCGGTATTTTGTTCTTGATGCTTGTTTCCGGGCCGCGCTGGCTAGTGTGCTGCTCGGTTTGGTCGCCGGATGGTGACTTGTATGTGTTCGGTTGATGGCACTGTTTTGTTTGCGTTCCGAAAAGCTGGGACAAGCCTGCATCACCTCCAGGACGGGGCGTTTGACGGCGAAATATCTCCGATACCGATACCGCGTACCAGCGTCTTCCTTGCACGACAACTTAGTGCCGCTCCTCCAGCATGCAGCATGTCACACGTCTATGAAGGCGGAAACTGCCCCTCAACCAGACACTATAGAGTCCGTCACCATGCCGTTGCCGTGCATACCCATCCACCCGCCGACAGATGGACCTGGGCAAGCGGCGCATCTCAGAAGACGAACGCGAGCGGGTCAGCAGCCACCACTCAAACGCCACCGACTCCGTAGACGGCGGCGGCGGCGGCGGCAGCGGTGGCGGCGGCGTCTCCTCGATCTCGCGGTCTCTCAGCGCCACCGGGGACGTGAGGGTGACCGTATCTTCTTCCGACTCGGCTCTGCACTTGCTTGCGGGCGGCGGGGTCGTCGCGAGCGGGGTGTCGAGCTCCGGTCGCGGCCGCCCCCCGTCCGCCGGTCCTTCCATGGACAGCAGCGCCGGCTCCTCGGTCGGAGTTTCCTCCGTCCTGGGCGGGCCCGGCGGGGGCACCGGGGGCACCGGCGGGAGCGGGGGGGGGGGTGGCGGGGCCAGCGG